CTTATTGTAACTCTTAATGTATTTAGCAAGTAAAGACCATGATATTCCTTTATTCTAGAGCCTGAAGGATCTTAGAACATGGTACCATTCTAATAATGTTATTGGCTATTTATAAATATGAACCTAAAGGAACACATAAATCTTTAAAAATAATTAAACATATTGTTTATAATATGAATATTAAAATTCAGGAAAGGATAAAGATGATCTGTTGAAGAGGGCAAAACACTTTTTGTTATTGAAAGATTGAGCAGTAAGGAGACAAATCCCAGAATTCACTTGAAAATCTGGAATCAGTGGAGTATTATTTTGCTTTTCTAGAAAAATATAAGAATGGCTTCTCATCTCTAAACTAATAACTTCCAGAGAAGCTCTGTGCAACAATACTTGTGTGTCCATTAATTATTGTTGACTGAAATGAAAGTGGAAAATCTAAGAATATTAGATAGAGTGCTGATAAATCATCTCTATAGATATCCTCATTCAATAGATAAAGGAACTGAACATCACAAATTTTAAGTCATTTCTCACCTATTTTCCTTATGCATATTTCAATGTCATCCCCAAAAATGAATTATCCAAGAAAAAATGAAGAATTTTATCTACAAGATATGAGAATAAGAGTAAAACAAGAGATTAATAGTTATAAGGCAAAAGGAATTCTGTCATCTTCAACAGGAAGGAATGGAACATCATTCTGGGAAAGTAGAAATTCTGCAGAACAAACTAATCAAAATGTAAATGTCAGGATTTATAATTAAGGTTTCTATGTTAGTGAAGTACATTACCAGAAGTTTCTTCTTTTACCTGAAGTAAATAACTAATAAGAAAACTTGTCCAATCTTGAAATGAGACCTTGACCCCCTAACATTTGGTCACCCTAATCCCCCTTTTTACAAGGAGCACTGGTAGTGTAGTGGTTACGAATTGGGCTGCAAACCTCACGGTCAGCAGTTCGAAACTACCAGCTGTTCCGCGGGAGAAAGATGAGGCTTTCTGCTCCCGTAAAGATTTACAGCCTCAGAAACCCTGTACAGGGTCACTATGAATCAGAACAGACTCCATGGCACATAACAACAACAATCCCCTTTTAGGAGTCCTGGTGTGGCGCTGTGGGCTAATGCATATGACAGCAAAGTCATTTGAACTGTAAGGTCAGTGGTTCAAGCTCACCAGCTACTCCTATACAGGGTCGCTATGGGTCGGAATCCACTTGATGGCTCTTAACAACAACAACAACAGCAATCCCTTTCTACTCCCCAAAGCTTGCCAAATCTTTTACATGTCTTTGCTCTTGATCCACACTCCCAGGCAGATCCTCATTCCCATCTTTAGCATTAATTTTGCCAGTTATCAAATATCATCTTGTAGAACAAGTTAAGAAGTTTTCACTAAACTTATTCCCTCCATAGAAATTGATCAGTCTATACGAACTGATGTTCAAGTTTGGTCTGACTCATCGCGACCCAGTATAGAGTATCTGAGGATCAGCTGGTAGGTTTGAACCACTAATCTTGCAGTTAAGGGTCTAGTACTCACCCTACAGTTCCACACCAGGAATCTGTAATGTTGAATTTGTATATCTTAATTGGTATTGTTTTTTCAATGCCTACCATTTTGTAGCTGCTGAGTTGTTAATTGAATGAAAGAATAGTTACAAAAGCATATAATTCAAAATTTACAATACAAAGGTTTCTGCAGAAGATGATATAGAATTAGGGTAAGTCCCAATAAATAATTAGTATGCTTTTTATTAGTCTTCTGGGTCTTAAATACTGCAATTTAAAAAGTTCAAGGGGACATGAATGTATATTTATATAACCATACTTTGGTAAAATTTGTGTATATAATCTTGTACATATCCAGATGTTGCCAGTTCTTTCTGTTCTTAGAAGTTTGGGTGAGTTTTAAAATTATTAAACATAGGCATCATAATTAGTATGCAGAGTTGACCTTAACAAGAATTTGACTTTTTAAAAACGCTTAATTACTAGCAGTAGTAAACCTACACTAAAACATGCATCCCTAAGAAATCTCAATAGTTTTTCTTTAAAAATGGGTAAGAGTTTGAATTGTAGTGGAAAGCCCATCTTTAAAGAGAAAGTTCAAAATGAAATTATGTTTTAAAAGAGTGCAAGTTTTGGATGTATGTTTATAAGAGCTGAAGGGATTGTTTTATGGTTTTCTGTTGCAAAATATATTTATAGCTCATTACCTAAATAGTTTCTTTTGTTGTTGTTAAGTGCCTTCGAGTCAGTTCCAACCCATAGAGATCCTGTATAGGGTTTCCAAGGAGTGCCTAGTGAGCTTGAACTGCTGACCTTGCAGTTCAAACAACTTTGCAGTTGAGCGCATTAACCCACAGAGCCATAACAGGCTCCAAATAGTTCCTAGCTCACTTTAATGTATTTCTATCATCAGGATGTTTGCTGCAAATCTAAGTACTTCTGAAAAGCTTCATATAAGAAACAGAATTTGTGTAATCAGGGCTTATTTTACATTCACTAAGAGAACTCAGTAGTAGAAAAAAGTATCTCTTGATGTGGCATTCTATAAAATGAACTAGATTTTTTCAACGTGCATTCCATTGTCATCTAGCTTTTCATGTTCTAGAAATGAGTGTCATTTTATTTGAGTGAATGAATGGATAACTACATTGCAGCTATTTTTTCTGGATTGAGTATTTCACTTAGGTTTCTCTATGATTGGAAAACTGATGTTACCTGCCAGATTGATCTGATCATTTGAACTCATCAGCAGCTCTGTGGGAAAAACATGAGGCAGCCAGCCTTCTTTCATAAAGATATACAGCCTTGGAAACCATATGGAAAAGTTCTACTATGTCCAATAGGGTTACTATGAGTAGGAATACACATGACAACAGCAGGTTTAATTTTGGTTTTAGCTGCATTTACACATACTCTTATATGCACATAACAGTGGAGCACATTTCCTTTTAATAAACAAAATAGGAAAATGAATAATAGTCTCACTTTTACAGAGTATTTTTAATGTCAAGGTTGAATTAAATATAAAATGGTAAGCTTCACTTTACATCATAAAATGTAGTGTATACCTATAGTGAATTTAGAAAATGGCTTTAAAAGACTTTTTGCAAGACTAATTTCACTTTTATTTATGTCCTTGCATCTCAGCCTGTGGTTTTGAGCTAAAACCCAAAATTTTAGCTTATTTCATTCGTTTTCTTTCTATTGCCATATAGACAATAAAATATTCATTCAGGTAGCCAATCAAATAATTCATTCATCTTAATTGCTAGTGTGTGCATATTAAGAAAGTTCTCCCACTGGATTCAATTAAATCTGCATTTCCTTGCTCTATTAACCCATTAACCTTAATCCCAAGGCATGCTTCCAGAGATCAATGTTATACATCATTTGTGGCAAACTCACAATGTTTCAGGTATTTTATAAAATTATAAAAAGAAGATGGTATCCCTTGAAACAAACGTGATATTAACAATCAAATATGGTTCTGCAAACCTTACAATAATTTTAGTAGCTTCCAATAATTTACTAATATGTTTCTAATGTAATAATAGACAAAAAAATTAAATTGGTTGTGATTATGGTAGAAGCATTTTGTACCAAAAAAAGAGACCACACCAATAATTCAGTAGATAATATTCAGTATCTGGTTTAAAATGTGGGTGAAGGAATGTCTTAAAATAAACGTTTCTTTGAAATTCATCAGATTCATTGATTTAAAACTAGATAAGAGAGATACCCATAACAAAATGTTGTTTTTGTTGTTAAGTGCAGTCAAGTCTGTTATGAGTTGTTGTTATTGTTGTTAGGTGCCATCGCATCGGTACCGATTCATAGTGACCCTATGCACAACAAAATGAAACACTGCCTGGTCCTGGGCCAACTTCACAAATGTTGTCATCTTGAGCCCATTGATGCTGCCACTTTGCCAGTCCAACTCACTGGGGGGTCTTTCTCTTTTTCTCTGATCCTCCACTTTACCAAACATAATATCCTTCTCCAGCGACTGGTCCCTCCTGACAATATATCTAAAGTATGAGAGATGAAGTTTGGCCATCTTGGCCTCCAAGGAGCACTTCTTCCAACACAGATCTGTTGGTTCTTTTGGCAGCCCATGGTACTTTCAATATTCTCCTCCAACACCATAAGTCAAAAGCATCAATTCTTCTACGGTCTTCCTTATTCACTGTCCAGCTTTTGCATGAATGTGAGGTTACTGAAAATACCATGGCTTGGGTCAGGCGCACCTTATTCTTCATGCTGACATCTTTGCTCTTTAAAAACAATTGAAAAAGATCTTGTGCAGCAGATTTGCCTAATACGTCATTTGATTTCTTGACTGCTGCTTCCTTGAGTGTTGATAGTTGATCCCAGAAGAATGAAGTCCTTGACAATTTCAATTTTTTTCTCCGTTGATAAGAATGTTGTTTATTGGTCCAGTGGTAAGGATTTTTGTTTTTTTCACATTGAGATGCAATCCATACCGAAGGCTGTGCTCTTTGATCTTCATTAGTAAATATTTTAAGTCCTCTTCACTTTCAGCAAGCAAGGTTCATAGCAACCCTGTATAGGGTTTCCAAGGAGCAGCTGAAGAGTTTGAACTAGCAACCTTGTGGTTCATAGTGATGAACTTACAGTACCACACAGAGTCCTTAGGGAAAAAATGTTGTGGTTAAGTGCCTTGAAAAAATAATCTAACGGGTATGGATTTCTCACTTTTTAGAATTAAGTTTGAGTTACTGCCTGTTTAGGAGTCCTGGTGTGGCACTGTGGGCTAATGCATCAGACTGCAAAGTCACTTGAATTGCAAAGTCAGTGGTTCAAACTCACCAGCTGCTCCTTGGGAACCTATACAGGGTCGCTATTTTTTGGAATCTACATGGCGGCACTTAACAACAACAATGAGGACTGTTTAATGATCTTTTCAATGAATGTTCATAGCATTAACAGATTTTCAATGCTTTGTCAGTACTAATCTATATTTTCCTTTAGGTCTTTACGGGGATCTTCACAGCAGAAATGGTGCTCAAGATCATTGCCATGGATCCGTATTATTATTTCCAAGAGGGCTGGAATATTTTTGATGGCATTATTGTCAGCTTGAGTTTAATGGAGCTGGGCCTGGCAAATGTGGAGGGATTATCTGTGCTGCGATCATTCAGACTGGTAGCTGCATAACCTGTCTTTATGTCCTGTCTTTACTGGCCATTTATTTTGGAACTGAATCAATGTTCAGTTATTATTATTTACTTGTAATTTGCATATCTGTGATAAAACACATAAATAGTCCCTTTAAGGTTAAATATGAAATAATTTAAGAGTTAAATATAGTTGATATATTTCAAGATGATTAGATATGTAAGGCTTTTTTTAAAAACAGATGTGTTTTTGGTTTATTTTTAATTTAATGTCTGGAAAGAAATTAAAACAAATACCTTAGGCCTCATTTGTTGTTGTTGTTGTTAAGTGCCATTGAGTCGGTTCCGACCCATAGCGACCCTGTAACAGGGTTTCCGAGGGTGTAAATCTTTATGGGAGTAGAAAGCCAGGCCTCATTAATATCAACTATTTATTAATCCTAGTATTGGAAACTAAGGAGCTCTGGTAGCATAGTGGTTATGAATTAGGCTGCTAATCTCATGGTCAGCAGTTCGAAACTACCAGCTGTTCCATGGGAGAAAGATGAGGCTTTCTGCTCCCGTAAAGATTTACAACCTCAGAAACCCTGTACACAGTCGCTAAGAGTCGCAACCGACTCCACAGCACATGTTAACAACAATGGAAACTACTTTAAAGCAATAAGCATATGGGAAAATATTTGATAACATCAGCATCTTAAATAATATTAAAAACTTGTAAAAACTAGCATAAAAAATTTATTGATAAATAAGTAAAAATTTAATTGCATATTATCAAAGTGAAGAAAAACTTTTCTATAGTTGGTTACTTTAGCTGTTTATGTATATTTTATAGTGGCTCATAAAAATATTTAACTACTAATTTTAAAGATTATTTTTTAGTTACATTCTAAAATATAAGATGAGGGTGACGTTAGTTTGGGATGTTTACAAATGCCTCCAACCAATATATTAATATTTTCACGGGTATACTTGTTGATGTTACATAAAAGTGTCATTTATCACTTTTGAAATGCTATATTTGTTTTAGTTTTGCATAGAAATGATATGATTTTATTTACACATCCTAGTATTAACTCTCTTTATTTCTGAATTTGAAATTAAATTGGTTTAGTACATTCTGAGCTTTTACAGTCCTCAAAGGTGGGTTTATATAGTAATAATAGATGTCAAACTAACTTCCATAACTACTTTGTGATTACTTTTGATAGTATCTTTTCACTTGATTACAGCTCCGAGTTTTCAAGTTGGCAAAATCCTGGCCCACACTGAATATGCTAATTAAGATCATTGGCAATTCTGTAGGGGCTCTGGGTAACCTCACCTTGGTCTTGGCCATCATTGTCTTCATTTTTGCCGTGGTTGGCATGCAGCTTTTTGGTAAGAGCTACAAAGAATGTGTCTGCAAGATATCCAGCAACTGTGAACTCCCACGCTGGCACATGAATGACTTTTTCCACTCCTTCCTGATTGTGTTCCGGGTGCTGTGTGGAGAGTGGATAGAGACCATGTGGGACTGTATGGAGGTCGCTGGCCAGACCATGTGCCTTATTGTTTTCATGTTGGTCATGGTCATTGGAAATCTTGTGGTACGTATGTTTTGTGAATGTTCACAAATGGATCACAGAGTAGTTAGGAAGATGGCTTGATGGAGAAGACATACTTCTGATTGTGTAGTTGAAAAGATCTAGAGTCATATTATAAACCCAGGACTTGCTCTTTGAGCATGGGCAAGTTACTTAACTCATCTGAGGCTCAGGGTCCCCATGTATGAAACTAGAATAACAGAACTTAAATTGTAATCTTGATAATAGAATTAAATGAGGTGATATCTATTAAAGTCTTAAGAGGCATGATTGTTATTTTTCTTTGCATTTCTTGTTCAATAAGATACATTTTTATCTTCATAAATGATTTTTATGTATTATTTTTTAATATAAAGATAGCTAAATTGTAGTGCCTTATTTCATTAAAATTTGTCCTCAAAACTTGATAGAATGCAACTTATTCCTTACTGAGTAAGCAAACTATGAATTATGAATGTATAAGGAATAATTTCAATGTTAAATCATTATATTTTAAAGTTATTGGTCATCATTGTCTTGTCAAAAGAATAATTTTCCAAATCACATGAAAGTGTATTATCTGAATCACTTGGAAGGGTACAATTTTCCCGCTGAATTTAGTTTATTAAAAGAAAATGAATAATTTCAATTTGCATAATTCATGTGTATAGACAGTGACCACATTTAAAATAACTTTATTTTTAGCTATGACTTAAAAACAACAATGTAAGTGCCTGATATGTGTTTTATTGCTTATATGTTTTCATCATCAAATTTCTTAATGAACAAAACATTTCTTTAGGTCATCAGATGGGACCTTCCTTTGAGGAATAATTTTCAAGAGAAATTTTTTTAAGAATACTAATGGTTGACCTGAGGACATACTTTTTTTTTCCCCCTTGAACAGTAAATTAGATAACTCTAGATTCTGAATTGGGGTCTTAGTGTGACACTGTATATGCACTGAACTGCTAACCACAAAATTGGCCGTTCAAACCCACTAGCCACTTTTTGGAAACACTATACGTGGTCGCTATGCATCAGAACAGAGTCAAGGTATTTAACAACAACACAATCTGATTCGAATATGAAAGAAAAATAAAGTGGATTTCTTGCATTGCAAGTGCCTTCTTTCTATGTAATATAATCTGAAATTTGATAAACATTTTTCAAGCTAAAAGTGTTTTGTAAATAAATTTCCTTTACATCAGAAATAATAAGTTATTCCTTTCTTAAACTTGTTGTTAAGTACTGTCAATTTCAGTTTCAACTCACAGCAACCCTGTGGTTTTCCAAGGAGCAACTGGTTGGTTTAAACTGCCGAACCGATGGTTCACAGTCCTGTTTATCCTACAGCACCACATTAGAAGTCTTAAACATAGTTCATCAGAAAAATTTCCCATGTATCACAATGATATTATTAATTTTAAGATTTCTTAATATCCTCCCCATAAAAAAAAATGAAAGAAAAATAATGTACATTGTATGAGTGTTGTCTAAATGCTGAAGTAATTTAGGGTGTTGTTCATCTATTGAGTTTTGAACACACATATTCAAAGTGTCTTTGATGAGTTGTGTTAAAACTTATATAACTTGCTTTTGGGAAACATTACACTTTCCAACAGATTGAGTTCCTTGGATTTAGAGGATATATTTTTTGAAGTTATTTTATTTGATCATATTAGTTGACTAAATAAATAAATCCATTATTTACACACATAAAGCTAAACATCCCCTGGTAAGATGAAGTAAAATGATTAAGACAGAAATGTTTTATTTTCTCACTGGCAAAAACAATAAAAGGGGAAATGTATCTTTCATTGGTAAGTTTAACTGAGTAAACATCATTTAAATGTTAAAAGCTATGATTTCGTCCTTAGAAGCAGGAAGGAAGAAGAGGTGCTTGTTTTATCATTTTGCCCTTTTGGAAGGGGTAAAAGATATTAGGTCCTTTGTATAATAATGTGGCTTAGATGTTTCTGAAAAGTAGTAAGTCTTAAGTAAGCGTTTGTTGAATTATTTTTATCAAACATCTATGAGTTTGAATGTAGGCTATTTCACGCATACTTCAATAGTAATGTAGCAGTTTTTCTATTTTTCCTTTTAGGTTCTGAACCTCTTTCTGGCCTTATTGTTGAGTTCATTTAGTTCAGACAACCTTGCTGCTACTGATGATGATAATGAAATGAACAATCTCCAGATTGCCATCGGAAGAATGCAAAAAGGAATTGATTATGTAAAAAATAAGATACGAGAATGTTTCCAAAGAACATTTTATAGGAAACCAAAAGTTATAGAAATTCACGAAGGCAACAAAATAGACAGCTGCATGTCCAATAATACTGGAATTGAAATAAGCAAAGAGCTTAATTATATTAAAGATGGGAATGGAACTACTAGTGGTGTAGGTACCGGAAGCAGTGTTGAAAAATACGTAATCGATGAAAACGATTATATGTCATTCATAAACAACCCCAGTCTCACTGTAACAGTGCCAATTGCTGTTGGAGAGTCTGATTTTGAAAATTTAAATACTGAAGAGTTCAGCAGTGAGTCAGAACTGGAAGAAAGTAAAGAGGTAAAAATTATTTTGAAATTTTTATTGCATTTCCCATTGCAACCATGAAATACAATTCTTTAGTATTCTTTTTCATGTATATATACATTATTAACATATAAAGAATTAGTACTGCAAGTAATATATATGATACATTTTTTTAAAAAAAGCATAAGATATTCTTCACTGGGAAATCTTTCCATGAATTAACAATTTTCCATATGAAACTAATCATTCTGAACAATTAGTATGCTTTTTCCTGTCAGTTTGTAAGTCTGATTTTTGAAAAAATGTGTTTTCAAAAAAAGGATGGTTAATTATTTAAGATATTCTACTCTCTATACTACATTAGGCTTTGTAGAAAAATCAATGAAACATTTTATTGATCATTGTGAAAGTATCATCTCTTTATTCTCTATAGATTTTAATATGATTTTTAAAGTGAAATTTTGTATAGTTTTTATTTGCTTCTGAAATTTTTGTTCACTTCAATATTTATTCATTTATGATTTTGTTGTTGTTGTTAAATGCCATCAAGACGGTTCCAACTCATAGTAACCCTGTATAGGGTTTCTAAGGAGCAGCGGTTGGATCATCCATTTATGATAGTGCTATACATCACAAAATTTCAAAGTATAAGTAGCACTGCTTTTATACTCTGGTAGCATAGTGGTTGAGTTAGGATGCTAACCGCAAGGTCAGCAGTTCAAAACTACTAGCTTTTCCATGGGAGAAAAGTAAGACTTTCTGCTCCCATACAGATTTATAGCCTTGAAAACCCTATACTGGGTTGCTATGAGTCGGAACCGACTCCACAGCACATAACTACCACCACCACTATTCAAGGATGAGCAAATCTACAAAGTTTTCCAAATTAACTATAAAATGCTAAGAACTACTTAGACAAGGTTAAGAGTACAGTTAAATTGTAGTCTACAAAGCTGTACAGTCATGTTACTATTTGTTTTTTTGAAAACAGAACAGATTAAAAAACAAAAGGAAAAAATGGAAACAATTGTTTCTACTCTAGGAGTATAATTCATATGTTTCTATAGTAACTTAGTGGTATTAACTTTGTAACTCTGTGGCATGGAACAGGATTAAAATAGTTTATTATTATTTATTTATGTACCTCTCTCTACCATTAGGAAGTAAGTGCCACACAGATGGCTTTATTAAATCAGACCAGTGATGTCTGATTTTGTGAGCATATATTAGAACCTTCTTTCCTAATAAGTATATCAGAATTTGATCTGCACTTCTTATGAATAAGTAGCTGACAATGCTGGAATTAATAGCCTCTTGATCTTGTTTAATCTCAGAGCTGTTTAATTATAACAGTAAATGTGAAAATATTTTGAAGAAGATAAAAATGCAGTATAAAATAAGGTAGTAATATTCTTTCTCTTAATTTAATTCAAAGTTGGCTTACTGAGATGACTTTTAATATGTTATCTTATTCTTGGTACTAAGAATTCAAGTCTAATTTTGCTTTCCATAATCTGTCATAGGTTTGCATAACAAAAATAAAAATTTCAAGTATTTATTGAGCAATTTTTGTAAACTTAGTACTCGACTGTATAGGAGAGGTAAGAAACAATACAACAGTACAACTGTACAACATAAGTACCCATTAGGGAAATCTCAGCATCTTTGAATGAGCTAATTACTAAGTCATAGAATTATTAAAGACTTAGTAAAACATTTAGTTCTGCAGTAATTAATATAAGAGGATAGATGTTAAGCATAGCAATCAGTAGAGTAGTTGTGAAAGAGATGAAATTAAAATGGGCCTCAATGTTTGGGTTAAAATGCAGAAACCAGGAAATGACCATCAGAGTTGGGAGTGAGTGCTGAATTCAGGTGGTAGTGGTACAGTTAGCACAAATGAAAAATTGGTGAGGAGATAGGGTCTCAGATTGCAAAGTCTCTGAAGTCACAGGAGTTTGGAACTGGTTGCATAGACTAGCCAATAAGGGAACTGTCTGTTCTTAAGCAGCAGAAAGGCAATATGAAAATGATAATTTCTGAAAGCTTATTTTATATCAATCAGCAAAACACTTTAAACTGGGAGACAAGGAGGGAATATATTTGGGATTGTGGTAATAATCACTTGATGGCACTCTGGTGGTAAAATCTGGGCTAGGGTCATAGTAGAAACTCAGAAAAAGTAGCAATTTGACAAACCTGAAAAGCTAGAAAGATGGCAATGTCACTGTCTTAAAAAGCCAGGTTTATGTGGGAAGAGGAGAAATTCAGTTGGGATATATGACTTAAAATTGACAGTGCTTGGAAATCTGGAGCATGGGTGAGAGTTCAGGATTTCAAAATAGATTAAATATAAATTTGGTTGGCTTCTGTTTCTTTGAAATAGAGGAGCTCACAAACAACTAAGTATAAAGAGTTAATAAGGATAGAGTGGACTCCTGGTATTGTGGGCTAGAATCAGCACAGGACTGTGAACCACAAGGTCAGTGCTTCCAAACTACCAGCAGCTCCTCAGAAACCCTAGACAGGGTCTCTCTATGAGTCAGAACTGACTCTGCAGCACTTAACAACAACAACAAGGGTAGACTAAGGACAAAACATTATATCAGTTTAGGATCAGGAAGATTAAGGAAAGTCAAAGAGACAGAAAACAATTGCTAAATTAATATCACAGATTATATCACATCAAATCTGTGGAAAGTAAAAACTTAATTTCTATCTACCAGTAGCTGGTTTCCAGAATACTTCACTACATTGTTAATATGCATAGCTACTATACATGGCTGCTCAAAAGGATAATACTCAATTGTTATCTCTTTTTAATGACTGAAAAAAAACAAATTTGGAATAATGCAATCCAATATTTTCCTCATAAACTACTAAAAACATTGTATTACCTGAACAAAAAAATCCTTATTAGTTGATGTTATTATAATTATGCTGTCCTCTTTCAAGCTAATTTTGAATACATGGAGTCCAGTTACACCATGTATTGAAATAGTTTTAAATGTACATTTAAATATTGGTAGAGAAATATATTAAAGCAAATGTAAATTTATACATCTGTATAAAACTAGGATAAAATTTCAAATGATCTTACTTAGAAATATTAAATTCAATAATAAAGTTTATGTAAATGATTTCATCAAATTAGTACAAAAAAGCCCTGAAATTGATTGGACAATCTTTATGTATGCTCACACACAAGACCAAAGAAACAGTTTAAAAAAAAAATGAGAGTAAAAATCCACAGGTTCTAGTTTAGATAATTTCCAGCTAAATAACAACTTTTATTTGAAACAGATCACATTTTAGGTGCACATTTTTATTGGCCAGTTTATTTCTTTTTTCAATAGCTATCAAAGAGACAGACAGATAGCCAGATGGACAGACAGATCAAAAACAGCATATTCAATAGGTGACATTTTGGGTTTTGCTTGAGTTTTTTGACAAATAGCAAAAGAAAGTTGAGCTCTGATTTGGAGTCTTGTCCTGAGAAAGTGAACAGTCATATAAATTAAACCCAACAGATACATTCCTTATTAATATTTTTTAAATTGCAACAAAATTCTTCTTTAAGATGAAGCAGTAAATTAATCACTAGCTTAAATGATATTTGAGAACATTGGCTTTTCTAATCTTTCCATTCAGTTTCATAATAAAGTTTAGCTGGCTATTCAGGCATCAGAAGAGAAATAATCCCTAGAATTTTTCAGAGATAAAAACATGAATTGCTGTTAGTATATTCTGGACCTCTAACATAATAGCCTGGTAGGGGAACAAATACAGTTTTACATGAAAAAAATGTAGAAACATTAGAAGCATGGATCTCAAAGTAATGATTTTCTAGAATCTTAGTAAAACTTGGAATAATACAACTCTTATGACAAGATATATGGTAGAATTTTGTTTACATTATCTTAAAGTTCACATAATTATTTCTTGAGCTTTTAATATAACTGAATTTTAGTTAACATCTATGTTTGTAAGTGAAGGATATAGAATAAATGCTTTTAAGACTCATATTTGAAATTGATTTCCAAAACAAAATCTAGTAATATCATACTATGACCTTCACTGCTTACCGTTCTTACTTCTCACAGGAGTAATCAAGCTGGAGCCATCAAGATTGCAGCTCTGGTGGTTTTTAGCCAGCCAGAGGCTCGTGCCATCACTTTTGCCCAGGTTACCCAAGCAAGTTGTACATATACAATCACTTTCTAAATGAAAATTGACTGGCCTGCATGCTACTCAGCTATTTTCCTTCCCCTGCCATGGCAAGGAAGTGCTAGATGTGCTCAGCTGCTCTCTGCTGAATTGTGTGACACATCACAGCATGGTCAGGCGAGATGGACAGCCCAAACTCATATTTGATTCTGCTAATGAATTTTCCAGTTTAATCTTTTAAAAATAATCATTGCATGCTCTATAGAATTTATAATACCTATTTTTAAACGTGACAGTAATGTTGAAATTTCAATTTACTCAAGAACTTAAGAGAGCATGCATTGTTAATTTCTTTGCTTTCTTTTTCATCAAAATAAGATCACAAATTTTTTTGTTGATTCAGCCCTTATAAGTAAATTATGAGCCTTACTGTATTGGTTTCTGATAGTGCTGCCATTTTCAGATCATTATATTCAGATCCATGAATATAATTTTCAACCCATCCAAATCATGTGCTCCAGATGGAAGTGTTTGCTTTCATGTTTTTTTTTTTTTTTTGAGAGGCTCTATAAAAAAAGATTAGGGTGATTGTGAGTTTTTGAGATATGAAGGGCCATAGTCTGTATGTGTTTGGGCACCACATATCTTAGATTTTCATGTAGTTTGGGGAAGGTGTAAAGTGTCATGTGTCTGCAAAACCATCGTGTTCATTGAAAGTAAGTAAAAGAAAGAAAAAAGTGTCATTATATAGGATGGAAAAAGTTCATTGCATCTTCTTATTAGGTGACTGCTCCAGTATTGCAAACACTAGAATACTAACCTCAAGATTGGTGGTTCAAACCCACCACCTACTCCTTGGAAACACT